TGATTGTTTTTTTTCTTTTTAGAGGAAAAACAAGGGAATCCATCCTAGTCTAATCCTGGTACTTTTTTTCCAAAGATCTTCCTTGCCACTTATTTTTGTACGACAACATACGGATAAAGAATTTGGTGAATTTGCCTTGTATTGTGGTGTTGTTACTAATGGAGAACGAAGCCCAAAACCCCCGGTTTTCTCAATGGCACAAGGTTACACCTAGGTAATGAGTAAAATGCGTCCTTTTGGCGCGAATCTTGGAAACTGGGGTCGCATAGCTTGCCAACGCTTTTACTCTGATAACATATTTCCTTCCATGTGTGGTTTGGGGTGTATCTATGGCTAGACTTCAGTGGAGGTTATCATTTGAGCGCCTACCGAAGTTTATTGGTGATTGTGAATCCGAAGATAATTGAAAATCTTTAAAAAGTAAAGTGTCTTCTCACATGGATCGAATCCTGTTTTAGAAACACAATGCCTGTCAATACAAATAATGAGGTAAATAAAAGGGTATAGGCAGTGTCAGTAAAAGGTTTTTCAGATATTTTAAGTGAAAATTTTGTGGCGTCCCACATACATAATGGGAGTATTAAAAAGGTCAGGTTGTGAGAAATCGGTAGGAAAGCAATATTTGCATCAGTCGAGACGCACTTGATTGAATGAGGTAGGATTTTGCTATTGGCGAGGCCAGGCGAGTGTATGCTCGGCACGTAGTCCACAAACCAGCGCACTGCAGCTCTGACTGTCGTAGATTGTGCAGCAGTATCTACTTACCCTGTGTGATTGAGACCCTGAAACGTAATGAGGGCAATTGGCGTTATCTACTATGGGCACTTACCACGTAAATGTTTTTGCGCTTATTTCACACGGAAGTATGGTCGTGGCTTTCGACGACGTCCACAGCAGGATGATGCAGCAACGGATACTTGCGCGTGAGTTTTTTTAAGGCAATGTTAGACATGCGCTGCGTCACCCGCACTTTTTTGTCTTCGCCAACCGGTGTCATGACAGTCTTTAAGACCACAAGGGAAATGGGGCGCGGTTGACTGGTCGGCACCTCCGCGTCAGTCAAAATATTTATACTATTAAGTAGGAATATGTGGCGGGCAGTCAAGAATGTTGTCAGGCTTCTTCGTTCAATCTTCAGTCACTCTGGAGTCATCCACGCGTTGACAATTTGAAGGGACATTAGTTGTACCTTGTTTCTTGTCATTCCGGGCAGTCTACGCTAGATTATTATACCGGTTTTCAAGCTACTTAGGTCCTTTTGTCGGCCATTTTTCTCAAAGGTCAGCTGAATGTGAATTATGATAATTGTATGTTTTAAGCCCAAGGGGCCTTTCATTACTAGCGGTATAACCAGGTTTATAGACGGAAAGTTGTGCCTACATATTCTGGATTATCGTCTGAACAGGAGTAAAGCCTGCTTAAGCTAATGGGGCAAGGCTTTTGATGCTCTATCTAAGAAGTAGGTTGCTAAGTTCCCAAGTAAAAGACAAACAAGGTCTTATAATGTGCCCCCAGTGTGCCTTGTTTTCCGTGAAAGGTATTTGCATCCCATATTTCCCCGAGAAGGTTGGAAATAAAATGAAGATTGTCTGATTTATAGCGCTGTATTTGCGAATGACGTACGCCTATTACCCGGAGGTAGACCAAATTGATGCCATGTACCGGCCTAATAGCCAGGAGTGTGCACTGTACCACAAAAATAGTCTTGGCACGCCCTTCGAAATCGGTTTGACTTTTTCGGACTCCAAGGGATCTAGTCGTTTCGGGATTTCACACTTCTGGACACTCTCGCGGACTCCAGATATT